ACGATCTTGGAGTCTCTGTCATGTTAGCAGCATAAACTAAACCAGAGTTCGTGGAAGTTGATGGAGCTGGGACAACATAATGTTCAAGATCAAGCTCCAAACTAACTGAAGATCCATTCTGGAAAAAAAAAATAAAGAGCAGAGTAAAGATAAACTTAGATGATTCCAACAAGAATCCAAACTAGCACAGTCGAACTACGAATCCACCCTAATGTGTATTTTCAGCAAGTCGAAATATCCCCCATTGTGGCAAATCTTGAGGACAACAACTAGTTGGATACTGCTAGACATCATGGACAGGACAAGAGATCAGCGATCCTTTCATTAGGTTTTCAACCATCATAGGTAAAAGCATAGACACGAAAATTATTATATATAATATCATTTCTATCAAAAATAACCTCTCATGCAGCAACCAGAGAACGTGTCTGAAACAAAGTTGTACTGTTCAATAATTTAGCAATTTCCAAATTTAATCACCTGTCTTGATATGCGGGCTAGCAAAATCTCGTGTGAACTGAATCAAATGAAGGTATTATTAGATGACTATCTAAAAATATGGAACAAATATCCGCAGGTCATCCCATCTTGATGTAATTGATTCGCAGGTTATTCAGATGGAGGATAAGAAAGGTCAAGTTATGTTTCCAAAAATCAGCGAAATATAGTTTGAGGAAGCATATGTACCTCGATACCCGTCTCAGGCACTGAATTAATACTAACATCCGGGATCCCACGAACAGTTGAAGGCTGGAGATTCTCCTGATAGGCTCTCCAACTGGCAGCAAGATCAAATGGAGATACCCTATCGGCTTTAATGAAAACCGGGTATTCAAGGACCTCATCAGCACTAATCCTGAAAATCGCCAGCCTCGTGTCCCCTTGTAAGTGACCCCTAGTGAGGAGCCGGTTCGGACCTTCCTCGACTATAGCAGGTGCACTGCTGTATTTTGGCTTCAAAAGGAACTTGAAATCCAGGGTCTCTATTATTAGGATGAAATGCAAAAATCATAATAGGAAATATAAGAGTCAATGCTCTCCTCTGCAAGCACCTAAACTGACAAAGTTAGCACCTTTTCGCCTTAAAATCACAAAGTTAAGGTAACATTGAAAAAAAAGAAGTACTGAAGCTTCCCATTTGAGGAAAACAAGTACTGAAAACTAAAAAAAAAAAAAGGGTGTCACCAAACCAAAAGCGGGAGCAAGTAAATAGCATTGTTGCAATAGAAACATGACATGAAATTGCACCCCAGTTTCTTTCCTCAAGGAACAAAATTTAGGGAAAACGAAACCAGAAGATGAACGCACGAAGATACCGTGATTGGGAGGAACAACAAAACTCAGTTCCCAAGTTGATGTAGATTCGCGCTCCATCGACAGCTGGAGATTATCCCAGAAGAAAGAAGGAACAAAAGAACCCATCAAAAACAGAGAAATGATCGTTGCGATACTAAATCAAGAACGAGAAAGACAAGAACATTACGGCTTTGGAAGAATCCCAGGAGCCGACGAGAGGGACGGAGCCGTAGACGTGAGGGATGAGCTCGCCGCCCTTGAGCTTGTACTTCTCCATCTTGAGCGAGACGTAGAGCTGCTGGTCCTCCCTCTCCTCGCCGCCGTGCGACTCGCCGTCGCCGTCCGCGTTCTTCGACGACCCCGTCCCCATTGCGGAAGGGGAATTTCTGAGGAAATCCCGCACGCCCTTCTGGATAAGTCTTCCCCCCTCCACTGATTATAATATATAGATATATACGCGCAAAGCGGCGAAGGAGCGAGCAAAAAGGGGGCGAAATGGGGGAAGGACCAGAATGACAAAACAGGTGCAAGATTCGATGCGCCCCGCTCGTGCCTGGATGAGTGGATAGATTGGTAGGGAACGAGCGATGGAGAGAGAAGCGAGAGAGTTGGCGCCTTCTTTGTTGGCGTCTGCGTGCGCTTTCATGCGCCTTCCAAGCGTTTGCGAAAATGCTCGTTTGGGGAGGGCTTATATTCTGCGGGTGGGACCAAGGCCACGAAGCGGGGTGACCTACCCTTTTATCCCAACTACCCCATTGGTGGATTCAGGGATGAGAAAGTTTATAAATTTCGTGTGGCGCTCGGTCTCAGTTTACTTGAATGTCATCGGCAATTTGTCTCGCTGAAAAATCAGACGTGGCATTAATTTGTTACATAACGTCTGGCGTGGCTCGCCGGCAAGATAAAATCAGCCAATTAAAAATTAAACGAGGTCGTTTAGAGCAAAATTCTGTCTGAGTTGACAAAGTAGGTGCCGAATCCTAACTTTGCTTCCTACCAGAAATTGGGGTTCTCGGAGCAAGTGAGGGAGAGGGAGAGGAACATCCATTGGGAAGAATCAATCCTAACTCAAAAGGAGATTCTCTTACGCATTCTCTTTTAGGAGTCGCCATCAGCATTTTTATCATATCAAACGGATTTTGGACTCTCGAAGGAAGTGCAAGGATAAAGAAGAGAGAGTGACAACCGACGATGGCGGAGGAGCGCCGTCGAAGTTGCCGGGCTATGCTTCCAAGCCAAAGCAAGTGAGAAGGAGAGAGCGAGAATGATTTAAAAAGGGGGGGGAAAAATTTAAAATAAAAAAAAATATAAAAAAAAAAAAAAAAAAAAAAAAAAAAAAAAAAAAAAAAAAAAAAAAAAAAAAAAAAAAAAAAAAAAAAAAAAAAAAAAAAAAAGAGTGATCCATAGAAGGTGAGGGGATCCAAAAAATTCATCAAAATTCATAAAAATATTATAATTTTCAAAATAAAAAATTAATTAATGAATTTTTATTTCAAAAAAATCAAAAAATCAAAAATTTCAAAAACTTCATAAAATGATTTAAAATTTGTGGATCTTTTAGTGAAATTTAAATTTTTTAGGTGCCCAAAAAATCAAAAAAATCAAAAATTTCAAAAGCTTGAGAATAAAGAATTACATTTGAGTGAATTAAATTTTTAAGGTGAAAAATTCAAAAACTAAAAAAAGCTTACGAATGGTTTAGAATACGTAGCCGACTTTGAGTGAATAATTTTTGGAAGTGAAAAAAAAAGCAAAAATCAAAAATTTCAAAACTTCCAGAATGACTTAGAATCTCTACACCCACTTTGATTGAAATTTAATTTTTTTAGGTGCCCAAATGGTATTTTTTAATTTTTTTAATTTTTTAATTTTTTTTTCGGCACCTAAAGAAAATTAAATTTTACTCAAAGTGGATGGCCACATGTATTCTAAGCCATTCTATGAAGTTTTGAAATTTTGATTTTGCTTTTTTTTTTATTTTTTCGGCACCTAAAAAAATAAAATTTCGCTCAAAGTGGTGGCGCAAGTATTTTAAAGCGATTACATTGAAATTTTGAAATTTTTGCTTATTTTTATTTTTTTCACTCCAAAAAAAAATTAAATTTCGCTCAAAGTGGGTGGCCACGAATTATTTAAGTCATTACATGAAGTTTTGAAGTTTTTGTTTTTTTGCTTTTTCTACGCACCAAAAAATTTAAATTTTCACTCAAAGTGGATGGCAGGTATTTTAAGCAATTCTGTGAAGTTTTGAAATTTTTATTTTCTGCTTTTTTTAATTTTTTCGGCACCTAAAAAAAATTAAATTTGCATTTCAAGTGGGTGGCCGGGTATTAATGCCATTACGTGAAGTTTTGAAATTTTTATTTTTGGCCTAAAAAATTTAAATTTCGCTCAAAGTGGGTGGCACGGGTATTCCTAAGCCATTTGTGAAGTTTTGAAATTTTTATTTTTCGGCACTTAAAAAATTTAAATTTCGCTCAAAGTGGATGACAAGTATTAGCAGTTACGTGAAGTTTTGAAATTTTTTATTTTTTGCTTTTTTAATTTTTTCGGCACCTAAAAAAAATTAAATTTATTCAAGTGGGTGGCGCAAGTATTAAGGCATTCTGTGAAATTTTTAAATTTTAGATTTTTTATTATTTTTAATTTTTTTTGCATCTAAAAAAAATTAAATTTCGGTTATGAAAGTGGGTGGCCAAGGTATTCTAAGCCATTTTGTGAAATTTTGAAATTTTTTTTTTTTCGGCACCTAAAAAATATTTAAATTTCGCTCAAAGTGGGTATGCAGTTCTAAACCGATTACGTGAAGTTTTGAAATTTTTGATTTTTCTTTTTTTCTGGCTTGATCGTTTCTTGAGATGAACATGTGTTTTGAAGAAAGAGTTCTCTAAAAAATATATTATTTGATTGAGTTACCAATATTTATACAACTGATTTGAAATTACCACCTACCTTGATAATTTACGTTTACCACCACTTATTTGCGAATGTAATCAGCATTTTAAAGTCATCAACTCTCATTTGAGTTCACCTACTATCTAGTTGGTTGTAACGTCAACATGTTGGCAAGCTCCCTAAACAAATGTTGGTAAAATTATTTTTGGAATAAATAATCAAATAAAAGTTGGTAATTTAATGTAAAAGTTAGAAATCTATGTATTGAAAACTAAAGAAAGTTGGTAGCTAAGGCTTGTTTAGTAAAACTGAAAATCAAATGTTGAAATCTATGTATTGAAAATTAAGTGTTGATAATGGTAAGTGTTGAGAACATAGATAAAAAGTAATTTTGAAATAATAACAGAAAATTATTAGATGAATGTTGGTAGGCCATGGTATTTTTCGTTTTGCTTTTCATTTTTGGGGTTTTTTTTATAGGACACCCCTTGACACCTCGGCCCGCCGCATCGATGTCATGTATCCACGACAAATATAAAAAAGTGTTACATCAATATTTTCCGTCACTAAAATTGGATGAAATTCACGGAAAAAAAAAGTATTTAATTGCTCAGACCAAATTTTAGGACTAGATTGTACCATTTAAAAGTCTTGAGACCCGATCGCACCACCCATTAACTGTTTGATGGTGGAAATACAAATGTCAGACATCTAGGTCCTGATGCCTGTATATGAATGTTGTGGACCGTGGATGGATCAAGAGCAATAATCTTCTTGTCACATGTAAAATTTTGTGAAACTACTGCCAATTATTGTTGAATGTATAGTTTATTATTTAAATATTCTAATGTCGGCTCTAGATTCGTCTTGCCATTATAATGTGGTAATTGGCATGCAAATACACATCACATTTCTTTCATGACTAAGCTAAAATGATGCGTTCATGAAGTTCAACGAGCACATCAAGGGCAAAGTGAACAAACTTTGCGGAGTTGACATGAGGAATTTCGAACCGAGTCGTTGACACGTTCATGACCCGGTAGATGCTCCGGAGGGTCTGGTTTAGACCGTAAAACAGTGGCTCGAGCCTCATCGATCCATGCAAAGCTGCTCTGGCGAGCAGGGTGGTCATCGTGCAGCCGACACAAGGTTGATGTGGCGAAAACCAGAGGAGTTCGAGGACGCACGTGCACTGCAAGAGGCGGACAATGGCCTGCAGCATACGGGTCAAAAACCATGGTGGCATTTTGAATCGATGAGGAGGTCACCGGGGTAAGAACCAACAAGCCGATCTATGCAATGAGCCTATAGTTGTTCTGCTTTGGCGGTGACATGGGTGATTAGAATCGCCCGCGCCGAGTCGAGCCAACCAAATTCATTGGCTAACTCTTTTCTTTCGATAAAACAAAGAGACGGATTAAATATCAGAGCAAGGAACAGGAATTCCCGAATGCAACAAGCAACAAACAACAAACAGAAGCTAAAACAACAGACAACTGCTGTCCTTTCATTAACGTGCTTTATGAGCCGTTCTTCGCCGAACTGGTCAAGGATGAGGACCCAGCAACAGCTTTGCCACCTTCCCGAATGCGCAAAATTCCAGACTTGTGATGAGGAAGGTGGATGAACCTTTCGGAGTTTGGTGTGCGAGTCCTATTTTGGAGAAACCGTATATGCTTTTTGCTCTTTGCAGGCATTTGCATCAGAACCCTCCCTTAGCATTACTTAAGTTCTTGCGGGTGTAAAAGCATCAGAGATACAAGGAGAAGGCCACCACCCACTAAAAGGCCCCATGCATATTCGAATCTCAGCTAGCAGGTATGGCTAAAACAATGAGGCACGTTTTCTAAGCACATGGTATCTAATAGGGGTACGCCTTATTCTCCTATGAAGCCCTGACTCTGCCCTTCTCTCTCTCATGAACCTCCATGAGGGCCGACTACTTAAGCATCGGAGGGCTCTAACGGGAGAAAACTCTGGGGTACTTTTTGCAGTTTCTCTCTGCCCTTGGACTTGGGGTTGCTAACCGTGGATCGCGCGGATTTCAGCAACAATAATGCCCAAAGATAGACTCACAATGCATTGGATGTTATCAAATGCCATATGATTAGTACTGCAACATATGATTAGTACTGCAATGTGATTGCAATGGCTAACTAAATCCCTCAAAACTAAAATCTACAGAAACAAGTAAAGAAAGTTATACTGCCTTCCACTCATAAACAGCTTCACAGCTTATACGTGAGATATGGGATGGAAATATGAGGTAACTCTTCATTTAGCTTTACGACTATAGGGTATAACTTGATATGGCATGTTGGCTAATGTTCATTATTAAATAGAATTCTGGTGTTTCATATGATTATATATAAAAACCGAGTACGCCATATCCATTTTATCACGATTGAGAACATTTACGATCGATATTTCTCTTTAAGTGTTGCACTCGCTCTTCGACTCTCTCTAGTCTGTGTCCTGCATCAGTGGTATAATAGTAACGGTTTTCTTCATCAGTAGGGCCGACTAACCAAGAGATGATGGACTGCTAGAGAGTCTTTATCAAGAGCATTGACTAAAGAGATTCCTTAAGCGTAATGACGCTTGCAACTATTGCTAACCAATATCATCCTCTGACTTCAGCAATCTGGACGTGACTCAAAAGTTTTGGCAATGAAATCGTAATTCCCTCATATTGGTGACCGACAACACGATCCATCTATTCTATATTCCTATTACATGGAATCCTCTTCATCTGGAGTCCGCGGTTACCCAATATGCACGCCAATTCTGTTTAAGATATAGGACAACGACCTTGTGATATAGACTCAAGCTCTGTTGTGGTTACTTGTATCTAGCATGATTGACTAATATGCATTCAACTAGCAGTCTCAGTGTGACTGACTCATTCATGTTAATCGCATAATCGTTTAAATGTGCCCAGTGAAACCACTCTGATTGTCCAGATTTTTACTGATGTAAGATCTAAAAAAATGAGGCTTACCTAACATTAGATGAATCGATTGTCCTCTCTGCCAGATGATATTTGTCCTGACAGAAGATTTGACACAGAACTTATCCCAACTGTTGTTTCATCAGATAAGCTCATTCCTATCTGGATTTTCACCAGTAGTGTATAAAAGATATGAGATGGTTTGAGTGCATACAATAGCTATAGCGAGTGGCTCTAAAAGGTTTTCGTTTAACCGTTTTTCGAACCAAAGAAAAATGAAAAGACTGGAAAATTTTCTATACGAATAGCCTATATAGTGGTCCTGACCTGACCAACCACACAAGATTACAAGTCTGTGGCCATATTTAGTTGTTTCTGATAACCCAAGCCAACCTTCTTCAGTAGTTCAAAGGCACCTATGGTTTCGTCGTCAAAACCACCTGCAAACTGAATTGTCGAAACTTAGATACGCCCATATGTATAGAAAAGAAAAGTGTCTTTTCGGTGCTTAGTTTACCTGGTGCACTCGGAAAGCAAAGCGAACCCCTTGAAGCATAAGGTTGTCCTCTTGCGAGCACTCACTAGAGCGCATTTCTCTAGCTATCCTCTTCATGTATTCCTTCGCCAGTCTCAGTGAGCTTAGCTTCATCTGCAAGAGAATTGAGAAGCACCTCAAGTGTGCTCTAACTATAGTGAAGTGACAATTTCGGTGTGTATCATTTTCTGTAGTAAGATTGACAAACTTGGAAGCTCTTTTAGGTGATTGGGTCAGTGATTCGAACTAGCAGCCTACTTGAAGTTGGGATCATAAGTCGTGTTGCGACAATATTTTGCCTAGTTTTTCCTGTTCAAAAGCTGCCTACCTGACCGATCAGTCCCGTGTCCAGCATCCATTGCCAAGGAATCTGGAGATCTCTGTATTTCTTACTCGTGCTCTCTCTCATCCTCTCCACGTTGTTAATACTTTGCTCCAACCTGGAAATGTGAAATTAGAATCGCACAATCAATAAACAACTTCCTCAACGGACACATGGAAAAGATGATAAATTTTTATACATGCTCGCCTGTCTTGCAATGCTTGCATCCGTCTCAGGGCTGGGATGAGGGGCTCTTTGGGATTGTCCTGGAACGAAGAAACTTCGGATTCTAAGTTCCTCAAGTCCCGATAGCTAAAAGCAGCTTCCCTCATGGCATCTGCTTTTCTTTCAGGCCAATGCGGAAAATGCTTCAGGACCGCCCTCTCGTCGACCAGGGACGACAGTTCTTCATCCAGCCACTTGACAAATGCCTCCACGTCGGTCATATCTTTGAAGGCTGCCGATTCCACTTCCTTGATTAGGAAATTGATGAATTGCCCCTGTCTCTCCACGTCGGATTTAATCTGTCCACAACTATGTGTTTTGAGCCAAAGTCGGTAATTGTCAAATACTGTTACATACAAAAAGTTAGCTGCTAAAACTTACAGCCGAGAGATAAGAAGAGCGATTCTCGATCTCTCCGATCATGTTCTTAGTGAATGTGACTGCGGGTACTCCTGTTGGGTTGGATTTGTTCTCCATCCGTGCATCTTTCCTCGTCAGCGCACGATACAGCTCCACCACTTCCGGCACACGGCGAACTGCTCGGATCCCTGAAAGCGATCTTGATGGCGGCGGGGGCGGGGGCGGTGCTGGAGCCGATGGCAACTTTTTCCCATTCTCATCCTTAAAGGAAGCAAGATTAGCATTAGGCTTCGGTGGCGGAACTGGGATCCTTTCTTCTCTTTCCTTTTTAGCTGCAAAAGCTAGTCTCGGAGATAAGTTCTCGGCAGGCGAATTGTGTTCCGCTATCTTAGCAGTCGGTTTCTGCAGAGACACATTTTCGCTCTCTAGTGAGTTCTGTATCTTCTTCCAGAGAAGGGACTTCCTTTCGTTGTCGTGCGCCTTGAGGGAGCTTATCTGTGACTTTAGGCGCGCCGCTTCATGCCTCAGCTCCTGATTTTCTTTCTCCAGGGAGACATTCCTTGCCAGACAAGCTTCAAGTTGTATCCTGAGCAAGGCGATCTCTGAGTCATCATCTTCTCGTGGCATTTTCTCTCCGTCGTCTTTTTTCGCCTTTAGAAGAGGCAGGACCAGTGACATTTCAGGACCTCTACCTTATATGTAGCCTTATTTCTCAAGTAAGGGATGTTTCACCGAATGGTGAAGGAGCAATGCTCGTTTACAACACTGCCCCTCAATGCGGTGGCAATGGCAGTCGGGCCACCCGAAGGCTAGTGTTGCAGACAAGGTTGTTTTAGAGCTTTCTCTGGTCTAGCTTTGTTGGCTACGATGATTAGCATGTTGACCTTTGTTTTTTAAATTTAAATTTAGGTGAGTTTGAGAGAACTTGGGGCTTCGGGCACAAAAGAAACGAGGGCATTGTTTTTTTTTTTTTGGGTAGTTGTCCCTAGGAAGCCATGGTAGGTGAACCATTAAATTTTATGTTTTCTGCTTTCACTGTGCTGTTCCTTTTGTCATCCATAATCTGTGAAAAGAAAATTCTTGAACTTGCCGTGACCTGGAAACTACTGTTCAAAGGCAAGGAAGTTTCTTCTACTTTTAAAGCTTGGGATCTGATGATGATTGGCCCAGAGGCCAAATGATTCAGGACTGATTGCAAAATCCTATCTGCACAAACTGTGAGAGAGTATGATTGGTTGCCCTCCTTTTCCCAAGTGTTAGATCAAGAATGGGAGAGGAGGGTGGCAACAAGGGTCAATCCGGTACTGAGTTTTTCTTGCCCTTTAAACGAGAGCCATGTGAATTGATGTGGATATCTCTATGGTAGCAAATGGGCATGTACTGATTGTTTGCTTGTGAAGCAATGGAAGAGAATGGAGGGACATTTGGGAAGAAAATATGTGATAAGAAATAAAGGAAAGCAAAATTTGCAGTGCAGTGAAGGATGCTGATTGCTGACAATGGAAAAATTAAAGGAAAAGGAAAAGCTCCTGATTAGTACTGCCCACCAGATTGAGATCCTACTGATTTTCTTTCTTTTTACTTTTACCTGTCTGCTTTTTCATTCTTGAGGGCACAAAAAGTGTACAGAGCATTTATTAGTTGGTGGTAACTCTTATAGCTCAAGAGGGACTTAGCAAATAGTTTGCTAGGAGCCTGCAAAATCACACTTCTACCAGTTGTATTTTGTTTAAATTAGGTCAATTTTTTTCTTGTAACTAAGCAATCATATGAAGAATATTGCCCCTGAAGATCAGATCTGTACTCCTTTGTCCGAAAAATAATGCTCAGAGGCTATAAAGTGATTAAACACTGTAAGTTCACCAACAATACTGCCGATATTAAACTTCGAAGCCAAATAAACCCAAGAAAAGCCCAAGCGTCTGTACTTTCCGACAAGACTTTGCTTTGTTGGTCGGCTAGAGCAATTACCCATTATGGGAAATTTCGCTGACACCACTTAAACTTCAGTGGCAATCAATGAACATCTACCCCTGGCAATAGAGGCAAATGAGTTCCTTTTTCTGCTCCTGCGGTGATTTTTTCAACTACATCTTCAAGGGGTTGCAAACAAGAATTTGAACAAGTTACGGGATTGTTGTCGAATTTCATTGAGTTACAGAAGTTAATTGCGGCAGAGGGGCGGTCGAGATTTCCAAAGCGGGAGATTCCATCGAATCAACTGAAGTATAGAAGTTGTCCGCGAAATTTCCTCGAAAGCAAAGTAAGGATAAACCGGAGCGGGAGAGAGATATCAGATCTTCTGAACCATGATGGTCCGATATGATCCATCGTTTTCGCGGTGTGGGGCCCCTGAGGCCAGAGATCTTATGCTCATAGCCCTTCTTTCGGGATTCCCTAATGGCCAGGGAACCTCATGGACCTGCAACTTGCCACATGATGATAGAAGTATTGGTGAGAGGGCTCATACGTGAATTGGTTGGGACATGTCACCCAATTAATCTTTTGAGATTTCTTAACCACTCAAACTTATGCAGACTCTTGCCTTTCTTTTCACCAAAAGTCTTTGCCAATACATGCCCCAGGACCAAGGGAACTTGTCTAAAAAAAAACTATATATATATATGTGTGTGTGTGTGTGTGTGTGTGTTTAGGTCTTGTCTTTCCGGTTGGTTTCCACTCACTTTGCATGGTACATATGTCATTCTCAGTTCTGTAGGCAGTTGCAGACATTTATTGCACGAGAGTTGCTGAGGCAGCCCTTGGTCGTGTGGCATTTCACTGCATTGCTGGCACTTGGGTTCGGGTAATCTCATTGCATGGAGATCATTGTTGCACTGTCTTGTCGGTGGATTAAATGTGGAAAGTTGATTCTGAAGTAGGAAGCTTTGGTCGGGGTCCAGAACGGCTCGATACTTATATGTTTCTGGATTAGTCCATTCGTGTGATCCGATTACCGTGAGGTAGTCTAAGAGAAGTGTTGGCCATTCGGGTTGGTTTTGGGTGTCATGAACAAATATTAAGTTGCCTCGAGACAATGTCATGAACAAATATTAAGTTGCCTCAAGACAAATCAAACACAGTGAGATTCGAGCCGTGTTTTGGTGCTAGCACAGAAGATTTCAAGTACGACATTGTTTGGGTAAGTTATTGTGTTCTTTGATGTACAAATTTGCACTCTGGTCCTGGATCTGAAATCTGCATACCAAAGGTGAAGGATGCCTGAGTAAGGAGGCATGAAGAATTAAATTCACAACTGATCATCCGATACTTAGATCAGCAACAACCGACAAAGAACAGATAATGAGCTACTAAAAGAAAGTAATTGATGGGGGCTTCCAGCGAACATTTTCGAATGATTTGACTATGTCGCTCTATATATGCAGTATGAAGTCTTCCTTGAATATGGAGCTGTTCTCCGTTCCCTCGCATTGTGTTTATGAACAACTCTCCTTGAATTCCCTTTCCGACGAATATCAGTAACTCTGCACTTGGATTTATTGGATTTGTTGCTAAAACACCAGTAACAAATTTGAACTCTCGGCCAATGGCAAGTGAACCAAGTTAACAAAAGTTCATTTTCGTCTCTCTGTATTGTAGAGCGAACCCAGAAGATTTACTCCAAATATAAGTACTGTCCAAGAAATCTCTAAATGATGGCATTGACTCAACTGTTCAAAGTATGACCTCTCCTAAACAACCCTAATATGTCACTTTAATATAGTACCAACAAAATATACCCATCTACTTTCTTACAAAAAATTTCTTTCCAATAGTCGAGCTAAAAGCTGGAATATACTCGCAAGTCCCAACCAAGTCTGCTACTGAAAGAATTTAATTACCACCTGAACATAGTAAAATTCCAGGTGAGATGTACTTCCAGCAGCCATCGAACTCGAAACATTTTGCTCACGGCCGATAAATAATTGTGGGAACTGACTCCTAACACACCGATGAACCGAAATCTCTATCCGGACCGATTTTTTAAGACCCCCTAACAAACAAAGCGTGGTTCTGAACAAGATTCAGCCACCTAATGTTCAGCATCCCTATGGCTCTCAGATCTGACCAATATGTAACATGTTCAATCTGCCAATCTCACCAGTCTCTGCTGACTAGTGAATTTGGTTGAGTTTTATTTCTTACAGGAATGCTAGCAGATTTTCGTTGCAACTCATGTAGAAGTTTGGACCTTGAGGCACAGACCTAATTCACAGTAGTCAGTTCTCGACTTGACGAGGCACGATGAAACGTGATGGAACAGAAAAAGGAAATCTTCAGCTTTATTGCAATGGTTAAATCATGTTTAGACCAGAGCTGAACACTGCAGCTAATGCAACAGGAGTTTAAAAGAAATCGGGGAGATGATGAAACTGAGGAAGTGGCACGATCTCATGAACTTTGGAGTCTCAGCTCACTCATTCTATTGCGGATTCGGCGGGCGGCTGTTGGCTGCAGACACCCGAGAACCCCATTCCAATAACTCTTTGCTGGTGTCGTCCTTGTGGACGATCACTTCGATGAAGCACAAGCAATCCTTCTTCTCCTCTGTAGCTGTCGCGATTGCGTCCACAAGCTCCCGCTCACAAGTCACCTGCACAAAAGACGGGCATGACTTGTTTTTTTTTTTCACCGGTATTTGCGAGTTGAAAAGATAGTGAAGTCACAATAGTAACGACATCTCATGGCACTTTAATTGAACTGACCTTCGCGGTCCAGCAGTTTCCTTCACCGTTGTGGATGGCGTCCACCAAGCCAGTATAGTTCCAGTTCTTGATCACATTGTATGGGCCATCATGGATTTCAACTTCTATTGTGTACCCGCCGTTATTTATTAAGAAGATGATGGTCTTTTGGCCACATCGGATCATAGTTGAGATGTCCTGTGCCGTCACCTGCAAGATGCAGAGAATTAGATGTTGCAGATTGAGGGCTATAGCCTAAGTTCACGTTCAATTAGTCCTTACATGCAAAAACTTAAGGAGAGGATATAAAGACCTATCGCGAAAGTGATGCACAGCTATGGATATGGGCTGTTTGTAAGGACTTAATAAATACTTGTCGAACTTCTAATGACCGACGTATGAGAAACATGTTAACCTGGAAGCTCCCGTCACCAATGCAAGCAATGACTCGCTTATCTGGCACCGACTGTGCATATCCAAGAGTAGCACCAACGGACCACCCGATTGAGCCATACTGCATTTGGAACTCATACCTGCAACAAAAATTGAGTTCTTTTCAGGTCAACAGTCATTTGAACACCGGAACACTAGACTAGTAATGTTGCTTACCCACATCCTTCGGGCAACTTGAGTTTCTGACAGTTAAACCAGGAATCTCCGGTCTCAGCGATCACGGCCGTGTCCTGCGAAAGCATCTGCTGTATGTGCTGGAAGAGAATGTTCACCCTCAAGGGCTCGTCGGGGTCACATTTGAGAGGGATCCCCTCGGGAATGTAGATCCTTCGGTAGTTATCATAGGCAGTGGAGTTGAAATTGAGCTTCTCCGCGAGCGACCGCAGGAAGTCCTTCATCAGGACACAGCCGAAAGCGGGGCCATTGGCAACGATCACCCGGTCAGGCTCCACAATGATCGCCTTCTCTCTCTTGAGGAGGAGCGAATAGCCCACTGAGCTGTAGTCATTGAAGATGGGCCCTGCGAACAGGTAGGCATCTGCGGACTCGACTATCTCAGCGGAGAAGGCAGTGCTGACGGCCCCCCAGTACGTGCCAATGAAGCGAGGGTGGTGTTCGGGCACGAGGCCTTTCGCGGACGGCATTACTCCAATGGGAT